AAAAAATTTTGCTGTAAAATTGTGTATTTTTTAAAATACCTATTATTATTATTGTTGTTGTTGTTGTTGTTGTTGTTGTTATTATTATTATTATTATTGTTATTGCATGAAATTAATGAGAACTGTAATATATTAAAGTACTTATTTTTCCAGGAAATTGGTGAAAATGATAATCTAGTGTAATTTTTAGAAATAAAATTTAACAAACTTTTTTGTAAAGTAATACGAAAAATAAATTTAAATTATTTTATATAAAATATATTAAAGACGGATTATTGTGAAATTAACATTTTGATATATGATAAGGAAAAAGTAGTGGATTCATTATAATAAGTTGTGTTTAACTTTATCACTACAACATTCAGTTGCGATAATATACTCTCATCATTCTCTCATTAAAAAAAAAGATTTGTTTATAAACAAAAGTTAAACAATAATTGACACATTATGCTACTTTTTATTATAAAATTTTTAGTTGTATAATTCTGTATTTATTATAAAAATTAAGCACTGTCGCTTTTGACCAACTTTTACATAACCTCAAATTTAAGACAAATGGAATAAATAAAACAAATGGTTATCAGATATATTCAATCAATATAACCATTCCAACTTTTATATAACCTCGAATTTAAGATCAAATGAAATAAATAAAATTAATGGTTATCAGATATATTCAATCAATATGATCATTTTGTCTTGTGAGTCAAAACTATATAAATACTTATTTTAACTCTCTTATTGTTGTTGAGACCCCTCACTCTTTATGTTACCATTTTTTATTTTCATTTTTTACTCAAGTAAAGGTTATTAACATTTTTTAGATCTATTTCATATAGATATGATATTTTTTCTTGAAAAATACATTTCTTTTTTAGTCGAAGAAATTATGTTATATATGATAAATATAACATCATTATTTTTTATTTCACTCTATTTGTATTTTATTTATTATTTAAGAAATTATATTATAAAATAAAATAAACAAAGTATGAAATTTGGAGGTCTAAATTCACATTTTTGTTAAAAAAGAATGACACGTTGACTTGACTAATTCTTACTTCAGCTCACATCAGAGTTTGTGAATTATGAGATATTTTATAATTTGAATAAAATGATCTTGTTTTGGAATGAGGAACTCAATACAAATAAATTAATGATCAC